CCGGACAGGTCTGATGACTGGAACTTTCAGGCGACCAGAGAGCGCAGAGCAGCCCGTCTGGGATATTTTCAGACTTGGTGGAGGTGGTAGGAACAAGCAACACTGTCCAACTTCCCTCCCCTTGTCTTTCATCTAGTGTCCCAGTGAGAAGGGAAGTACAGCTGACTGATAATACATTTAGGTCCATGATCAAATTGTATTATTAAAGAGGCATAAAGATTGTAAACAGATTGTAACAGCAAGCTCAGCTGTCTAAAGGAAACAAAATTCACCAACCAGCATCTGTAAAGCTCACTAACATTGTTAATCTCATATCTGCACAAAAAATTGGAAGTGTTTCAAAATTTCACACTATTCCTTCAATCACCCATACGCAGTTTTACTAAACTGGGGAGTTACTATGTTAGATTGCACCAAGTAATTCAACACAAACTTCGTAACACCGTTACTAATCACCAAACTCTGAGCTCTGCCAGGTGGTCCTTGACAAGCCATAGCTAGATCAACTGTATTCTATATCAAAGGGTCTTGTATGAGGAAAACGCCTAAAGGAGCTGAAGAGGTGAAGACAGTTTATACATTGCAAAGTCATCCTTCAAACGCATTCTCTAAAAGCCCGACATGTTCTTGGGGCAATATGTGAAATATCTTTGGCCCATTTTAGAGGCTAATATAGCAAGACCACAGCCCCCAGTCATTTTAAGTGTGACTAATCACAAATGTAATGGGGCTTTAGAAAATGAGTGAATTACTCTAGTCATCATCACAATGCATAGATAGAAAACATGAGTTTGCATCAATCAGTTGTCATACATCAGCATTTGAGTGACACTAGCTAGAACATAAGGCAACTGGACTAATTATTTACAAGGTGAGACCACACAAACATTCTTTGTTGTAGTGGAGCTACTCTGTGGTTTCAGTTGGTTAGAGGTGGTTCAAGGGTAGGCAAGTTCAACTCTAATTCTATCGGCGTAATCCATGTTTTCAGAATAAACACTGTATATGACAGTTTGTATCCTAATAATTAAAAAACAGGAGGTCCAATTAAAAGACCTCACATACATACAAAAACTGAACTAGGTTGTGTCTGTCATTCACCACGTTCACAAAAACAATCATGAACTGTGCCTGTGCGTATTGACCGCTTTCAGTAGCCATTTCCTGGTCGAATACTGAGTGCTGGTTAATGGGAAGGCTGTCTACATTATTTGCCTTACAAGGGTTCTGGGTCAGTGTCTGGATGGTGTGATTTACACCATCTGGGTGCTACAGAGTGGACCAGCACTGACGTGATGCCTCCTCTATGTAAGGAGTTGAGATCTGGAGATGGGCTGTTTTTTTCCACCTTTTTCACATTAAGCTACTGCATGTTTTGCCTTCCTCTGGTCTCGGTCTGTCTACACGTCACAGCTTAAGTCCCCTCTCTCATTTGGATTTCTTATTTCTTGGGACTGGACTATCTAGCACCAACAGAAAGAAAGGATCATACTTTAAGAAATGCTTCATATCCCGATTCTTGTACAAAGACAACACATAGGAACTATATGGATAATTCATTAAAAGCTCCTATATAATAGAAAAGCAGCTCCCTCTCCTTGTTAGAACAGGGGTAATATGAGCATACTTGTATAAGTGCACCCCTTGAGTAATTGGACAGTGACACAGATTGTGTCTCTGTATGAAACAGTGACTATGCAGTTTGCAAAGTGCCAACTTTCAGCTTGAAACTGAAGACGTTAACATTCATACTGGGCAAACAATAATAGAAATTGCCAGTCACCATCACAGTCATGCTGAGAACACTGTTATAAACCAGTATGATGTGAACACCCTCAAACAGCCTTAAAACTGTAACTCAGCTCTTTAACCCCAGTCAGTGTTTCATTTTAAATCCAACATGCTAAGTACAGAGGAGCCAAAACAACTGGAAATGAACTGCACTGTAGATTCTAAATCAGCAGACCTCCACGCCATAGTGCTGGCATGACTTAAGTCGGTTCTTTGTGACTCAGATGTTTTATTTTCCCTTCTCCCTCCGAACTTCACAGGGACAGGGCCGAGTGCCTTCTATAAAATATGCTGAATGCAGGCTTTGAACATATCTGAAAACATGGGAATTGGGAAGCCCCCACTCTCTTACAGAAACAACATGGCCTGAAATAGCTGTAGAGGAATAATCAAATAATCTATACAGCAAAAGAAAGATTATATCTTGCAAAAGAGCGAGGTAACGTATAATAATTCTCAGTCTGCTTTTTAATCCTTTTAGCCATGCATGGAAAATGTCAGTTGATTGACAAAGTAATCGGTGATTGAAGCCACATACACTGAATTAAATGGATTATGCAGGATGGAGCCCACACATAGGTTGGTCTCATTTGCATACAGCACCCAGTACTATAAATGAGATTAAAAACAGCAGGAATGGTGGGATAAATAGAATGGCATGTCATTATTTTGTCCTTCTGATACACAAATATTTAGATATTTAATTTCACTGCATAAATGACTTTAACCTTCAAATTTTCTCACCTATAGGACACCACAATTCAAGAGAATACTACACGACGGAGGATGTGGATGACATCATCATCAAGCACATTTTAAACATGAGTGGTTTCACATGTGGCAATTTTGTTTGAGTTAAACATATCTCCTGCAGAACGTGAAAACATCACATCATGGCACACACTTCACCACTGCATTGCTCACAATTAATCCCACACAAAAACAATGTGGGTTGCTTTATTAAGCAGTGAATCTTGGAGGACTTAATTTACTAAACCAGCCCTCTCTTCAAAAATGGGACGCTGTCGCACGTATGCCCCTGATCACATAACTCCTGCGGCTGAAGATGTGAAGCGGTTCAGTATGACTTGACAGCTAAAGCCAGTTGATTCTCCTGTATTACAGGATAGACAAGCGATACACTGTGATTGGTCTCCCTGTCAGTCTGCTGAGGCTCCTCATCTTAAACACGGCTGCGGGTGAAGCAGCTCAGTGTTTTTTTTTGTTGCTTAAAATGAAGTTTGCATAATCACATGCATAATAAATACACCTCAGTATCTCATACTACGTGTACTTCCAGTAAGAATTTTAAAGATATGAGCAGTCATGCTATAAAAGGCAAATCTTAAAAAGGAAAATAAAAGTTTCTATTCATCTCAGCCGGTTTCAGTTTAGCTGTTCAGGTACGGAGATTAGAAAGGATGACCAAACAGAGCCTTTCTTTATGCCAGTGGCATACAGAAAAGAAGGATTAGCAGATCTTCTCCATGAATCTATTTTTTTTACACTGCTGGGCCAGACTAGTAACAGCTCCAATCCAGTTTTCAGGCAGGACAGATCAAGTGAGCATTCTTTAGTGTTTCTTTTGTTTAAATATGTTGCTTGAGGATGTTTTACATGGGCAGCACATCCATCACTAAACATCTCTCAGAGATGTTTAGTGATGGATGTGCCTCTGTTACATAGGCCTGTATCATAAAGGTAAAATCTACTTCAAGAGCAACATGAGATTAAGTGATATTCAGAACTTCATTCTTATCTGATACAGCTGCACAAAAAGAGAAACGTATGATCCCAAAGTGACATCAAGCTGGGGAAATGTGCCACTTTGAGTTATGCAAGGAGAGTGTTGAAGCTCTGATGACCAGTGTACCACTGATTACTTATCAGATAGCTGGAAAAATAACTCTTGATAATGTATGGAAAGCATAACGGTCTAGCTGACACACTGTACATCACATGAAACAAGAGGCCTGATGTCAGTGCTTCTGCCATGAGTCACATCACATATCATGACAGTCCCTTCCAGCTTCATGGTTATATATTACACATTATGTTATTTAGAACATGGTGGTTTAAAAAGACTCCAGTCTACTGGTCAAGATTTCCATGATCAGGGTGGAGCACATCTCTCCTCCTGCTTGATGCAGGGCCAAAACAAGCTGACTTCCCTCTATGAAGCCCCCTGTCAGCAGGAAGGAAGTTTTCTGTTGTCAGAAGGAGGTGGTCACATTGTGTGTCCCCTTCTATTTCCAGAAGCAGAAAACATGTCAGTGCACAATGCTTTGGCATGGAGATGCAAACATTAGACCAATGCTGGGTGTCCTGCAAGAACAACTTCACACTGGCAGGTTTCCAACATGGGTCTCAAACTGAGACATTTGGAAAGGATCACATAGTTTATAATTGCCATCTGGAGTGTGAGGTGCACTCTTTATCCTGCACTTAGGCCCAAGCTCAGCTGCTCTTTAACAATTTCTTGATTTCTGGAGTTTGTTGATGCATCTCTGCAAATGCAGAAAATGAGCATGACTGCACCTGTGCATTCAGCAACTATTCACTGTATTTGGAATATATCCTCTGTTTGAGCAGTATCAAAAAGGAGATAGAAAGGATGCCAGACCTCCTATAACTGCATCATGTTAGTAGTGAGCTAAACATAACATACGGAGGGGGATGGGATGGTACTAGTCACATTACCTCATCTAACGCAAATTGTGTTAGCCTACTATAACCCTGATGGCTGAGCTCTGTGCGAAACAAATGGCAATACATGTTTTAAGAGACAGACAGATCAGCAGTCAGCTGATGATCAAACCGGCGTTTTGTTGTAGCCATCGAAAGGTCTGCAATTTGGTAAATCTGTTATTGTCTCGCAGATTAAAATCTGGTTTAGGTGTTAAGCTTCTGGACATCCACAAGGTTGCGTTAGCTTTATGATTTGTGGACAGCCTTTATCCGAACCTCCTAATGGATTGTTCATAATTCATCAGACAACCGCACTGACTATTGCTTTACCTTGATTGCAACATTGTTTCTGTACCCCTAAATGAGTCAGGCAACTATGAAGTTAACACTAGCGAGACAGCGTTTTAAGTAATTTTGTTATAACGTGACGAAGAGGATGAATGACAAAGCACTCGTGTATTTTTTAAACCAGACAGATTCAGCTCTAAGGCAGACTGGACTAACCATTAATTAGGACTTACATGTTGCTCCTGGTAGAGTAGTTTCCTCCATTTCGGCGGCAGTACCCTCACTTTCTGTTCTTTTGTTCATTCAAACATGCGAGTTTCGTCTTTTCCTCTCCGGCTGTCCTCTCATTCCTCAGGCAGAATTGGCGGGGGGGGGGTAACTTGGTCGAGTCACTCCACCCGAAGTCCTTAACGAACCGGGTAGTAACCCCTCCTGAGAGAGTCCAAATAGAGCAAAGACACGACACCAAAATAAAAACCCAACCCAGCAAGTACCCGCCTGTTGATAGAGGCACCGGTAGCGGTGGCGCTCCGGGAAAAACTTAAATGAAAGGGTGTCTGAGGGAATTTGGGAGAGAGAAAGCACGGGAGAAGAAGTGAGGGAAGTTTCTCACTCTCCGACACACCGCAGCTGATGCTCCGCTTGTGCGTATGGTACCTCAATGGCCTACAGACCGGACTGTACCATCAACAAGAGGGGTGTATGGCTGCTACTTATAGTATTGTTCGTTAAATATTAGCCAGATGTCACCTTATGGAAAAAAAATACAGTAACTGCAAAACATAAATAGGCCTATATTATTATCTTAAGGCAAACTTTAGTGATAACAATTAATTATTGTGAAGAATATAGTTGTAGACTACCCCTTGGTTGTTATTGGTTCCTCCACTCACGCAGCCAGCCAGAGCACAGTTCATATTCAATAAACCTTTTCCTTGGAAAACGTTTTCCCACCATGCTTGCTATATTTTGTGCTATGTTTTGCCATTGCTTAGTGATAAAAGTAGCCAACTAAATGCAGTAGGCCTACACGTGAAGATTGGTAGGTCTGTCAATATGACAAACTATTGTATTCAAATAACCTGAGATTGAGGACAACCTTTCACTGCAGTCCACAAAATACACCAACATACAAGACCAGGATTTCCCATGTTTTTGTTGGAGAAATAATGTAGCAAAACATTTCACGTGGGCTGCATAATTACTAATATTTCAAATGTACATTTATGTTTGTAACTGCACATCCAACTAAAAGAGCATTTGTGTGCAGGACAAAAGCAGCATAAAAAGGGAGACTGCTATGGAAATTAAAAGTGGATGCAGTCAAGAGAAGAGAAGAAGATAAAGGTACCATCAGCAACATGCATGGTTGCATTTTAAGGGTGTATGTCAACATGCTTTGAAATAAAGATCAAGTTAGGGCAGCCACCTCAATGTCTACAACCGAGACTCAACCAGAAATTAATTGGTTGTAAAGTAAATGTATTTAATTTAGGTGTAAAAAGAACACCAGATTTTCCTGTCAGTCTGGTGTTTGTTTTGGATGATGGATGTGTTAAACAGGTTACTCCACCCAAGATAGCTACTGTATATTGCAATTTTTCAGTCAGAGACAATACAACCCAATTCAAAACACAAAAGTTGAAAATGATCTAACAGCTTTAAGCACTGCAGAGTGTCTTCTTGTCCACCACCTGTGGATCTCCCAAAGCATCTGCCAAGGTGGGGGCTGGGCCAGGGGCTGATCGGCACGCTTGAGAGGGGACACCCCGTCAAAAGGACCCCAGTGGGGCTCTTTTGTGCAGCTGTTGAGTTGTGTTCACCCAAACCCCCAAAGAGCCACCTGTCACTGCAACTGGAAAGTGGGGGATGTTGAAGGAGGTGGGGGTTGGGAGGGCTGTAGAGTGCGTGGTTGATAGGTTTTGCAGAATTAGAACCAAAAGAGTAATTGTTGAATGTGCTTGTCTCAAAGTCTAGTTGTACTTGTCATCATGCTTCTTAATTGTCCTTGATGAATTCACACCATGACCCAAATAAATGGTTTTGTCAAAGATCCCCGTCCCCCTAAAGTCATTACAGTATGATGATTCAATAATTCTGTAATATTGAATCACAGATAAGAATGTTATTTCATTTACTGAATAAAGGAGCAATTAAGAGTTAAGCTGCCACTCCTTTTCAAGTCAAGGAAAGATTGAAGGAGAACAGGGAATGTCTTTGAGTGCTAATGAAAGATTAATGGCTGCATACCTCAGCCAAAACTCAAGATTTAAAGACAAAAGAAGGCAAATTTCTTTCTTAAACCACCTTTGCTTTTAGTTACCAATAGCCTTATAATCTAGACAGATTATTAAGCCGTTGATAAACTCTTGTTATAGAACAAACTCAGCTAATGCAACAATTCAACAATGTGCATAATAAAATAAAAACAACGGAAGACACTGGAATATTATATACTGGTATTGAACTTGTATATACTCTCTATCATGCTTGATTTATCTATAGTAAAAAAAAATTTTAAAAGACAGAAGAAACAAAGAGGATGGATCTGATAATAAGTGAGTTAAAATGCTGAAATAAATGCTGAAAAAATTTGGAGATTTAAAAAAATTTGTATTACTTCCTGTAAGTACATTTTGCACTTTAAATACTACAGGAAAGTAGACAAAATGCTTCAAAAGTCCTAAACATTAACTCTACTTTTCAAATACTCTGCCTATGCACATTTCTAGATCTTTTGTGCAACCTCTTTAGCCAACATATTGAAATCCAACAATCGTTTCAACCTCAGCTCTATACCCATGTACGTGTGCACAGACTTGCACATTTCACCAAAAACACATTTCTGACACATTTTTAGTACACAGCATATGTCATATTGAAGTTGAATGGATTTAATATTGAGTGGGGAAATGACAAACACCAAACATGGCACAATTTCTATGTAACATCTGAAAACTTATAACATCTATAATTTAAATGGATTTCTATCAACAACAAGGTAAACGTGCCTTTTTTAAGAATACGTGACAGTGTTACAAATAAACCATTACTATACCCTGCACCCCAGACAGTAGTCCTTTAGCCAGCAGTCTGATAGGAAAATTAAATGGCTCAGGATAAAAGCATACCACAAAGTCAGGAGGCGTGTGTCCATTTATCACACATCACTGTACCATGCTGTGCTAATGAGCCATTCAAAGTAAGGTGGATGTAGATAGGAGAAAATAACACAGTTGGTTTCCATTAGCTGCATTTTAGAGGTGCTGAAATGTTGCATGTATGTTCTGCAGACAGAAACAGTGACTGATGAAGATACAGTGCATTCTAGTGCCTTTACCTGTCTTTCTACTCTCGCACCCCTCTCTCCATTTGGTTGTTTGAATTCATACAAAGTTCTGTAAGCAACCTGTGAACCTGTGTCATCTCCATTTGTGAACCACACGTGTGACCACGTTGTACACAGGAAGTAGAAGACCCCCTCCTTCTTTATCCATCCCCCAGTGTTCAAGAAAGGTCTTGATTTTGGAGCTGCAGCTGCACTCCTCATTTAACACACTGAGAAGCCCCCCCCCCCCAATACATACATCTCATTAAGCTGCCTCTGAATGCTGTAAGCAGTTCATGCCTTGAAAAAAGGCAGTTAACAGAGAACACTGGGAATAAGAGAGTAAACAAAAATCATTACTACTGAGAGGACGTGATTGCATCAGTAAGTATGCCAAAAACAAGGGGAACCAATTGGAGAAATAGGAAAGCAGACGAAAATAAACTCCAGTACCAGAAAACCAGTACCAAAAGCCACATTTCCACCAAACAGTCTTGTCCAGTTCATTTCAGTTTAGTTTGTCATACATTAGAATGGTTATTTTCGTGTTTCCATTGGCAAAAGTTGTGGAAGGTAACAGTAAAATCACTAAATTCCGTCCCTTTTTTCGTTACTTGGAGTGTTTAGAGTCAACTTTCGCAATCAATGGGACATTTAAAAATGGCGGGTCCTTTGTCGCACAAGAAGTGACAATTCTGTTGACCAATCAACAGTAGTATAGTACTGTCTGAGTAGGAATCAAGTTTAGGAAGAATGCACAGTCCAACAGTATAAACTAAACAAAAACCTGTGTGAAACCTAGGTGTTCAGGAGTGTAAATAGTATAAAGGTAGCTCTTTTAGAGTCTACTCTGAGGCACAATTTCTTGTGAGTCATTCTTCTTCTGTCATCTCAGAGATGCTGTTGAAAGTGGTACCCATCTTTTTGATTTCTCAATTTTACCATATGGGAGGAAAGACACTCAAAGCTCCTCCTTTCAAAAGGTGGAACTGAAAAATCATCTCTCCTTTGTACAGCCTACTAAAACATTGCATCGCCACTTTTGCAAAAGAAAGAGCTTCTATCATTATATTCCAAGGAACATGGTCACCACCAGCACCGCCAGTGAGTCTAGAGGTCAGTTACTTTGAATGGCAAGGGTAACCCTCAGCCTGGTAATGAAACAACAATAGCAGGAATGTTCAGAATGTCCCCAGAGAATATAGACCCAGCCTATGTTATAGACTACTGAATACACTATCTCTGCCTTTAGCGAATGGTAAGCAAATAGGCTGGGGTAGCATCAGGGAAGGGTGGATATGAGGTTTATTAACTATGATGGATTTACTGCTGAAATATGTTAATTTGCAATTGCTTAACAGTTTTGTACATAACATTTCACTGATGTTGTCAGTAGAGTTTAGTTTACTTGTACACTTGCGGGTTCAGTTTGCTAGGTTTAGGGAAAGCAACTTAATTTTCGTGTCTACATCATTGTCTCGACTCAGCAGTGTCAAAGGTCACCTACACCTGTAGGGGGCCTGTAGATTCAAATAATTTACAACCATGTTGTCTTTTGTTTCCTGTAGTGTGATTTAATCAGGCACTACATCACACAGGACAAATGTGTGTGTGTTAGCACAGACAGAGAGGTAGGGAGAGATAGAGTGTGGGAGAGTTCCCTGTTTCTTTGTATTTCTCTCTAGGGAGCCAGGAAAAGAGCAGTGTTAGGTCTGAATCATCTGAATTTAGTCTGCATCTCATTGTGGGCTGGGATTTTGACTTCAGTTGGGAGGTCTTGATGTGTTGTTACATCCAAGAGTCTTGTAATTTGTGTGTAATTTGTGTGTTTTACTGTAGATAGCGTACTGAATGTTGAGACTTGTGGCTGCATTGCATGCATTGCATTGAGGCTGAGGCTAGATACATTTCTACGTGAAAAAACATTATGATAAGACTTTATCGCTCAGCTAGATATACATTGGTGAATTCCTGGCTTTGAATCTGAATTTGGAATTTCTCAGCCCACTACTGTACTGTACACCCAAAAAGCTGGGGGACTCAGAGACAGATTTTAAAAAAGATATCCTGACTTTTAATCCCTAGTATGGCTCAAGCTCGAAAAACATTGGATCCTACAGTTTCTCTAATGCTACCATGACAACTGTCATCAGGGTTAAGTTTCAGATTTTTAGAGCTAAAGGAGACTGTTTTCATAGGTTTAGAGACACGTAAACAGAATATTGTATGTAAAAACTGAAGTTCCCGCTTGAATCAGCATTAAAACAAGTAAAAAACTAGATTGCCAAAAGGTGAAGTGTTCTAAATCAGAGATTA